TTCTTTCGGGAGGGTGTCCTTGATGCCATCTCCCAGCTCATCTGATCTTTGGCTGTTTCATGCCCAGCACATAAATGTATCCTCCAGCTGTACATACTAAACACATAAAGGATTTAGCTGAGATGTACTCAGGTCCCTGGGGCTGATGTGGGCATGTGGTTTCATCTTCTCCAGTTTCAGCTTGAACTTGCATAGGGGCAATTAGTCACTGGCTTTTTATGACTGATGGTATTGAGCTTAGCTACTGTCCCTCTCAACAGACATTGTCAATTTGATCACCTGGTGAGGTTCACGTGTATAATCGCCATTCATGTGGTTCTTTTTGTTTTTTTAAAATATTTGCAACGAATACATTTTTGTTGTACAAAATTCCGTCATGTGATCTCTGGCCTGGCTTTTTATCAATGGACACCACATTTGCTTTGTTAACATCCTTTTCATTCCAATGGCCAGTTATTGTCAATGCGTTCTGATAGTCCGTTTGGTCAATTTCAGATGTGATTGCCTCTGTAGCTGAGCCAGCAGCGTGTCTCACCTGCCCGTCTTGGATTCTTCAGTCCCTGCAGCTCCCGGACTCAGGAGAAGCCTGCGGTGACAATTTGTGACCCACGACAGACTGGAGACTTGTCAGCCTCTGCCAGTGAGTTATTTCCTCGGGCTTCTCTCTCTCTCTCGTTATTTCCTCGGACTTCTCTCTCTCTCTCTCTTTCTCTCTCTCCCTTTCTCTCTCTCTCTCTTTCGATGGCAGCTGGTGCTTTAGAGTCAAGCCTGACTCACAGCAACCTTATAAACCAGCCTCTGCACCCTGTCCTGCTCTGTGCACCCTCACCATCTCTGTCACACGTGAGCCCATTGCTGCAGTCACTGTGCCACTCCACCTGGGTGAGGGGCTGCCTCTCTTTCGCTGACTCTCCACCTTTCCAAGCATGATGTCCCTCTCAAGGAATAGTCTCTCTGAGCGACATGCCCGAAGACTGTGAGATGAAATGTTATCATTTATTCCTCCCGTTCCTGACATGCATTACATATTGAGCTGTTAAACTGCTAACGAAAAGATTGATGGTTCGAATTGACCAGTTACCATATGGAATAAACATGCATAAGTGGCTCCCATTAAGACATCTCAAGGGGGAGGGGAGATGACTCAAGGACCATGAGTTTTGGGATTGGTTGTTGTTGTTGTTAGGTGCCATCTGGTCGTAGATGACTCACAGTGACCCTATGAACGAAAGACCTGAACACTTGTATAACTTTCATCGTTTCTCCACGTTCATAGAGTTTCTGGAGGCAAGCTGTTTTGGAAGTGGATGCCACTCCTGCTTCCAGGCTTGTTTTAATAGGGGAGCTCCACCAAACACTGTCTACCATGGGTGACCATGATCGCATTTGACGCATCAGTGTCAGTGTTTGGCTTCACAGCAACCACGAGTTACCTCTGTACAGCAAATGGACAGACCCATGCTATACTATTTAGAAGACAATAATATATAAATAAATGTATATAGCTATACAGACACGTGAATGTGAATGTTCCGATTTAGAGAAGAATGTTCAGATTTTAAGACAGACTAGGAAGAAGGATTGGCCATCCACTTCTGAAATAGCAGGCCTCTGAAAACCCTATGTACAACAGAACACATTTAGATAACAGAACACATTTAGATAACTGAAATGGCAAAGGAGGTTGAGTTTTCAAGTATGGAAATACAAAGGAAGAGGAACAGTTGTAAGCAGACACTGGTGATTGGGACATGGAATGTGAGAACCATGAAT